AAATACAGTTGCGGAAAGAGTTACTGATTTAGCCGCAAAATTAAGTGATCAGATCAAAGCAAAATCATCTAGTTTCGAAAGTTTCTCCATTGCCTGTGACGAGAGCACGGACATTAGTGGCAAAGCTCAATTAGCAGTGTTTCTTCGTTCTTGTGACAAGAATTTTAACATTTTTGAGGAATTACTGGAACTAATACCGATGCCTGGTACTACCACAGGAGAAGATATATTTACTTGTGTTTTTGGACTTCTGCAGAAATACAATCTACCTTTGGCAAAATTAAATTCTGTAGCTACAGATGGCGCTCCATCAATGACCGGGAAAAACAAGGGCTTCGTAGCATTACTAAGAAAAAAACTTAGTGAAATTCACGGTTCAAATATTCATCATATGAATTGCAGAGTCACCAACTCTCCCGATTTAGGCGGGAGACTCCCGATTTTCGACCGCTCTCTTGCCAACCCGATTTACAATATATTTCTCCCGACTTTTTCTTATTCTTAATATTTCTCACGATTTTTATGAAACTTGGCTTAATACTTCGTTATATGAACCAAAAAAAAAAAGTGATTTTGGACGTCTGAAAGCAACTGAATTTTCTCTAGATTATATCTAAAATAAAACCTTGCGAATCAGATGAGAATTTCTGCTTTGTGAGACAGCATACGTATCCAGAAACGTCGTTCTCCAGTTGTCCAATGGGCATCGAGCTCCACTGCATGTCATCTGGCATATATTAGCCAATGAGCACAAAGCAAGCTCAAGGCCGTTGCAAAGAAGATTCTTTGGCCGTTGGGCCGTTATTTGGATGTTCTTTCGTTATTTTTTTTTATTTCGTTCATCTTGTCCTGAGTTGTGTGAGTACACGTGCCTTTGGGAAATAGTTTTAGAAATTATCGTCTTTTGTTATGTCTGCAAGAAAGGTGAAATACTCGAGCACGTTTCAAAAATCGTACACAGTTGACTTTCCTTCCATTATTTCTTCAAGGAAATGTAATAAATTTGCGATGTGTACCATCTGTCGTTGCGATTTTTCGATTTCACATGGTGGAAGGGCAGATGTTCTCAAACATGTGCGTACACAAAAACACAAGGACAACATGAGTTGTTTTGAAAAAAATGAAAAATTAAATTTTTCTTCGGAAACAAAGACCAAAAAGTGATTAATGCAGAATGTCTGTTCTCTGCCTTTTTACTGGAGCACAACCTGCCACTGAATGCATCGGATCACACTGCAGCTTTATTTAGAAAAATGTTTCCCGATAGTGAAATCGCTAAGAAATACTCAAGTGCAAGGACCAAAACAGGTGCAATTGTTAAAGAAATGGGTTTGAAAAATAAATCTTCAGTTATTGATTGCATTAAAACAGCTCCGTTCTGCCTCTCTACGGATGGAAGCAATAATACCGATTCAAAACTGTATCCAATTGTTGTTTCTTTTTTTAATCCAGAGTCTTCAGAATTGAGTGCAGTTTTACTTTCTGTCCCCACTTTAGAAGGACATTCGACAGGCTTTAATATAGCACAGCTAATTATTAAAACTTTAAAAGAAAATGCAGTCCCTCTGGATAATTGCTTAGCACTTGGTGCCGATAATGCACCAGTATGGTAGGCTTGAAGACTGGTGTTGCAGGCATCTTAAGAAAGGCAAATTCAGATTTGCAGATAATGAGGTGCACCTGTCACCCTCTTAAATTTAGCAGCTGAAAAAGGGGCAGCTTCTTACCATTAAATGTGGATGAACACATTGTTGATATTTATTATATCTTGAAAGAAGTTCTAAAAGAAAGGAAAAATTGAAACAGTTCCAACAGCTGCATAATACTGAAATAAGAAAAATTTTGAAACGTGTGTACACGCTGGCTGTCTTTAAAGAAATGCTTATCTAGAATCCTTGATCAATGGAACCCACTTCTTGCATTTTTTAAAGAAGAAGTAAATGCTTCGAGAGTTAAGATAAAAGGCTCTATTGAAAGTTATAAAGTACCTAAAGTAAATGGAGATGTAGTTACTACTTCCATTGTTAAAAATAGGTTTGAGAAAAATAAAAGTAATTTCTGCATCATTCAGCAATTCAACTGGCAGTTCTCAAAATAATACTGCAAAATATAAGCGTAAAGCTGATACAAATTTCTCTCAAAATAAAAAAATTGCTCAACACATGAAACATTTTCCGATTACTGTAAGTTTATCTTGTGAAGAACGAATATTTATGTTTTTTTCTTCGGACCTTAACAAAGCTTTTTGCTTTTTTTTTTACAATTCATTTTGCCATCATTCAGTGTTCTCAAAGCAATTCTACAAAGCAGAATTCCATTAATTCATGTTTTGCAATCAATGATTTGTGATCTGTTTAAAGACATTTTATCAAAGTTTGTAAAACCAGTCTGTGTTTTGTCTTGTAATTCTATATATGATGTGACTTATCGTGAAACAGAAAATCGGAAGAAAGATGAAGATTTGGTAATAGAAGCTGCAACTACAAAAGTAGTGGAAGAACTTTCAGAAGAAGACAAAAATAAGTTTTATCTTCATGTTAGAAGTTACTTCTGTCGAGTATGTGATTACATACTACATAAATTCCCAGTCAACGATGAACTGATTTTGCATGCTAAAGTTGCTGATGTTTCTGCTCTAGCAAATGCATCTTTTTCTGATATAAAGTACTTTTTGAACAGATTTCCTGTGTTACTTCATTTAGTCATGAAAGATGATGATATTGATGTTGCTACTGATATATTGCATTCGCAATTTTGCAGTTTACAATTAGAAAAGTTGGATGAAGTTATAAAATCAGCTAGGATTGACACCCAGTGGAGTTTAATTGGAAAATTGAAAGGTGCTGATGGAATTTTAAAATATAGTGAACTCTCTAGAATAATGTTGGCCATCTTGACAGTTCCCCATAGTAATGCGGAGTGTGAGAGGATTTTCAGTGTGTTGCGAAAACGGGACTAAATTTAGATCTAATATTAGTGATGACACATTAGAAAAACTTTTATTAGCGAAAGCAGGCCTACGTGGCAATTGTTATGAACAAAATTATGAAGTTTCTTTCTTAACGAAAGCAAAATCTGCCACTGCCCATAACATTTGTATGAAAACTGATTAAAGTGTCTTTTTTTTTTTTTTTTTTTTTTTTTAATGATGCAAGTAATAAAAATGTTTTTTATGTCTAAGGTATTTTTGTTTTGCTTGCATTTAAGACTTAGTAACTATTTAAAGTTAATTCATCATTAAAAACTATATTTTTATCATTTAAAAAGTATTTTTAACATTGTGAAAAATCTCCTGATTTTTGAGTGTCATAGGTTGGCAAGTATGGCATTGTATTATACATCAAGAAGTTCTATGCACGAAAGTAATAAATATGAAGAATGTTTTGTCATATATAAAAAAAAGTTATAACATTTATAAGATCTCAAGGTTTAAATCAGCGTCAATTCACTGCTTTCTTAGTGAGTTAGATAGTGAATATCGGGTTTGTCCTACTATACGAGTATGTTGGTTACTTGCCCAAGATTCTCAAACAATTCTGGGATTTGAAGAAGAAATATGTCAGTTTTAAAAACTAAAAATCAAGACGTAATTGTTTTACGATCCCATATGGATACAAGATTTATCTTTCTTGGATGATATAACCGAACACTTATCGATTTAAATTTATCTTACAAGGAAAAGATCATATCATTACGAACATGTTTGACATAATTAAAGCATTCAAATGTCAACTAGTCTTTGGGGAAAAACAACTTAAAAATGAAGATTGACGCACTTCCCGACGTGCAGCATGAACAAATCAAGTTTAGATGATACTTGTTCGTATCAAAAAATACGCAGAAAGAAAAAATTGCAAATTTAACAACTGAATTTGAAACGAGGTTCAATGATTTAGCTCCCTCGAAGACAATTTTTTTTTTTTTTTTTTGGTTTTCTTCGATTTTCTCAATAAGTATTGACTCAGTAACCTAGCCTGTGTGCAAATGGAGGTGATCGAGATTCAATGCAACTCAAATTTGAAAGCAAAATTCATTGAAGTGGGCGTGCCCTGAATTTTACAAATATTTACCAGCCAGGTTTGAAATACTCGAAAATTCGCATATGAAAATTACTTCCATGTTGGTAGCACTTATCAGTGCGAGCAGTTATTTCAGTCATGAAAGGTAATAAGTCTCCTATTAGAAACCGTATTAATGATGCTCACCTTGGGTCAGCGTTGAAAGTTATCACTGCAAACAAAATTTCTCCCGAAATAGGAAAGGTAATAGCAGAGAAGAGATGTCAAGTATCAGGAGTAAACATTAAATTTTTCTTGTTCTTTTATATATTAAATATATATATATGTTTATTATTGTATTCAAAATAAATCTACGTTTCTATGAATATTGATTTTTTTTTCGGCCCGACTAAAGTTAAACCATGTTTGTTTGGCCCAAGTGTACCTATGAGTTTGACATCCCTGCCTTACTTCATGGTGCCGTGGCATGCACTTTGAGAACCCTTGATACAGAGCATTCCTTATATATTCATCAAAAATACATGTTACTCAAGTTTCTATTGTACATTATCTATACATTGCAGGGGAATACTGATATAATTTAAAACAAGAATGTTTGCCTCACATTTTTAAAAAAGCATGCATTGTATGTTTTCTGAATTCTTGTGTTTTTGGGTTTATAAGGTGAGACTTAACTGTTGGCTTAACTTGCTTGTTAGGGTGAGACTTTTGCTCTTCTAAAAATTATTGTGTAATTTTGTTTGTAATCAAATGTGATATATTTTTTTGTCTTATTAAATTTTTGTTTTCTACAATCATTATTATCTTGAAACTTATTTGCATATTTTTAATTTATGTTTATATAATGAGCATTTGCTGATTCTTGATTTGATTTGATTGACTCAGCCTTAGTAATATTTGTAAATATAAAAGCTATTGGATATATTGTTTTTCTTTTTACTTGTTACTATATCTTCAGTATTAAGTTTTCATTATCTTTAGAAGAAGCTGTGTTATCCTAAAGAAAAAATTGTCTGAACCTTTTGAAAGATGGAAGTTACTTCTACGTCTGCTGTATCTGAAGGTACACCTGCTCAATCAGAAGGTAATTGTAATACATGTCCCTGTTTTCCAGAAAAATAAATCTAAAAGGTTATAAAATAATATTTTTAAAGACTGAATGGATACCATATTATAGCAATAATGCAACCTTGGTTTATATTCTACCATCCAGAAGGAATGTTAATAGTGTGCTGTGAAAGTGAAAAGTCACGTGAAGGTCCACTCTTTGCTAGAAAAGAGGGAATTTACTGTCAAAGGAGGAAAAGTCCCCGTGTCATTGGAGTATCCTGTCATTACATGCTTTTAGCACCTTCGGTTTCCTATGAGCAGAAATTAAGATATATATTGATTTTGAATCTGGAAAACAGGCTTATTGAATTTTTTCATAATTTATGAATTTTATGTGAATAATGCATGCTTTAAAGCTTACTTTAAAAATTAAGATCACTAAAAATCATCGAATTAAATTTTTTATAAGCAATATACTTTTTGGAGTATAGGAAAAATGGTCAGCAAGTTCACCTTATTTGAGTAGGATATGTCCAGCTCATAGTTGATTTAATGTGACATTAACCATTATTGTTAATCATAACAAAAAGGAGAAACCGTTAAACTGCTAAGTCATAAAAAATAAAGCTCAAGAGTTTGGAGAAAAACTTGTTTTTTGTGTGGTTGTTCATCATGTACCAGCGTTACAGGGAAAGAGGTAATAAAGAAAAGGTTCATGAAAGGAATAATTTCGAAGCTGTCTACGAACATACAGAATTAGATTTTAAAGTAACTTGTATTTTCGGTTAAACAGAGGAAAATTTGACACTAGCAATTACAGATGTAGTGCTTAAAAATGCATGTGTGTTTGTTTGGTAGGACTGCATAAGGAGATAGAAAAATTCTTCCATATACAATATAGGAAGCCAACATGCAAGCAGTGTTTTAAACCTATATGTAGTAATTGCATACAAATACAAAGATTTAGAACGTGGTGCAATTGCTTCTTTCAATAATTTTTGCATTTTTACTTAACAGATGGTTCATTTGACCTATCTTAGACTAAAACAAGCTTAAATATTAACATTCTTTTCAAGTAGCATTTCAAGTAGTATTCTTTGTTTAGATAACTGCATGGGGTCTCCCCAAAATTTTATATGTAGTATTATTGTGTTGTCTTTGTTTCCATGTTTCAGAAAATCATATGCTAAGAAAAAAATAAATAAGACTGGTTGTAAGAGATTTTAATCATACTTTTTTTAAGAAATTTTAAAAAATGGCAAGCCCACAGACATCACACTATCAAATTTTTGTTATTTTTATTATTATACTTCCTCCATAATTTTCAGTAAATGAAAGCAGTTATCTTTTAGTCCTGTTGTTATATAGTGGTATATAAAACATTCATTTATACAGCATTTGATTTTTTATGTTTCGCAAAACTATGAGCATTTGAAATTGCTAACCTGCAGATGACTTATTTTATATTCCCTCACTGAATAAATTGCCAAAACATCTTTCGTAAGTTTTTCATCCTTAGCTGTGCTCCAAATGTTTTTTCTTAGCTGAGTCTCATGTTCATGTGTATAGTACTGTTAAATGATACCTATTTAAAATTTTATGAATGTGGTTTAATTAGCTATGTTGTTTGAAGTTATCTTAAATTTGATCAGTTGAAAGGCAAGAGTTTTTTTTTTTTTTTTTTTTTTCTTGAGGAATTATTGTTCTCCTACTCAAATTAAAACAGTATTGGTCGTGTTAATTCTGTATATTCTTTCTGTTAAAGTAATGTCATAAATTCATCTTTAAATGCCGCAGTTTACAGAAAATGTGTTTATGTAAACTGATTATATACAGTTACAATTAATTAGTGTACTATGGATACTTGTCTTAGGAGAAGGATATCTTCATAGTGGACTTTCTAAGGAAAACTGCCTTGTTTTTGTGTTCTGCATGGAAAAAAACCAGTATATGAGAAAAATCAAGGTGAAATTTTGCATCTGGTTAGCAAATTATCTTTATACATAAGTACTACAACCATTTCATTTTAGTAATGATTTTTTAACATTGTGGTGGTGGACAAATGTTCCCTCCTTATAGAATGCAATAGATATAATTAGAAATTATTCTTTAATTGGGTGGAAATCCTTGAAATTTCAGTTTAGCAAGCAGATTTAGAATTAGTGTGTCTTAAGATATGTTTATGCTTTTTAGGAAATATAAAGGTAGTAGTATAGATTAACTGTGACTAATATTATGTTGGAATAGAAAATTTGCTGAATTAAAGAATTTACACTTCAGGAAATAAAATGGTAGCATACATTAAATAAGACTAAAGAGAAAATTTTCCTTAGAAAGAGGAAATTTTCCTTTTTTTAAATATTCAAAACATGCTCGAATCTGAGGAGTCAAATAACAAAATGCCGTAGTTATCTTTCTCTACATGTGGTTTTTCTTTTAATGTAATTGTAATCATATTTTTTTGCCAATGCTAAATCTGATGGAGAAAAGTTTAATTTCTTTAACTGGACTTAAATGTTACCACCATTTCTTAGCATAAACTGGTAAAAAGGCTGTTAGATATGTCACAGCCATAGTACTGTTTCTTATTCTTTTGATTCTAAGTGCTTCTTTGCCAAGAAATGTCTGATAATGAAATGTTTCTTCAATAACTTTGCCTTCATGCATCCTATAAGAAAGTACGAGCTTAAGTATTTTATGTCATTCTTTCATTTTCATAACATGTACTACTTCACATTAATTAATGTAATTATTTAAATTTTTTTAAAGTTATACAAAATATTAAACTCTTGAAACCGTATAACATTCCTGATATGAAATGTTTCCACTAAGTCAAAATTTTGAATTTAAAAAATACTTAATTGCCTTTTTTAAGTATTTGTACTTTAAGTAATTTTGTGTTTCCAAGAATTTTATTTCTGCATTATTTTTTAATTTTGAATATTTTTTAGAAAATGTTGTGGAAAAGTCTTCAAAAGATGCCACAGAAAATGTTGCTGAGTCTCCGAAAGATGCCACAGAAAATGTTGCTGAGTCTCCGAAAGATGCCACAGAAGGTGTTGCTGAGTTTCCGAAAGATGCCACAGAAGGCATTGCTGAGTCTACGAAAGATGCCACAGAAGGCGTTGCTGAAGACAGTAAGGTATGCTTCATAAATTTTCTTGCATATTATTTCAATTGAACATTCAGAAAAATTTTGATGCCATTTCAGCTTTTGTGTTTAATGTGTCACAGGGATCTTTTTGCATGCATAGGCCTTGAATCACAGGGTATCCTTTATACTAATCTGATATATGAAATTTCTCATTCGATATGGCTCTTTGCAAATAAATTTCTGCTAAATGGAAAAAAAGTAATAGTGTTCTATCCAAAGGCTGTGTTCCCATAGAAATTACTGTATTTCATCATTTCCACTTATTATGCCTTAACTGTTGTATGACAGTTGTTGCAGAATTTTAACACCAATTAGACTGCTGTTATTCTTATAAAATCTACATAATATTGATATGTTTCACAATGTATGTGCTAGCACAACTGTGCTGTGAATCTTTAATAGCCTTTGATAACATTTGACTAAATGCTTCCAGCATCAAGAGCAATCACTTCATTTAATAATTATGCCCTTACTTGTGTACTGAATACAGGACTGTGATTTCATTCTGTTAACCTTGATTACTTCAGTATTTAATTAGATTGTTATCTAGTTGTCTGCGAATACTTAAAGTATCAAAACTCTCATTAGCTTGTAGACTGAAATCCATCAAACTCTTTTTCTATACTTTCCAAAGTACCTTACAAAAAATTGTATAAAATGTTATATACTGTGTGGAACAAAGCAATGGCAACTTCAGTAGTGTTGCAAGTGCTAATGAAAAGGCATTAGCTATCTTAGTTTCCTGTCAACAAGTTAATATTCAAATATTATATACTGTGGAAAAAAAAAGGAATCAAAACAATTCCTTCAGTGCTAATGAAAGGACATCTTAATTTCCTATTAACCCTTTCAGGATGGGCGTCCCATATATGCATTCCTTAAAAACGTCTCTTACAGCCGGGCGTCCCATCCACGCATCAGTAAAGATCACATTCAGAGGATGGGTGATGCGTAGAAGCATTTTAAGGTGGAACGTTTTTCTGAAGGCCACTAGATGCATCCTGTGTCCATATTTTGAAATGAACACAGTTAGGTTCCCGACCTAGAGTTTGATATTCTGCTGACTTTGGTATTTTACTCAGTGTTCGACGGTGGGCAGAGGCAAAGCGTAAAGAGGTGGGCTCTTTAAATTGCGGCGTGCTAATAAAACATTCTCGATCTGATTTATATCCAATTCCTTTTTTATTTATTTTTCCTCTACTATGTACGTTCTTTTAGGTTAGTGCGGAGTTTTTTTATTTGCATTGCCTTCATATATTTCCGTTCTTTTTTTATTTAGGAAAGCCTCCTCCAGTCTATTAGGCGGAAGGCGCAAAAGGAAGAATACCCTAATAGTTATGTATAACGCAAATGAGAGTATGTTCATTTCTAAAGTTAAAAAGTGATACTTTTCTAAGAGTTATAAAGTGATACTTCTCTGTGCTTCGAGATTTACCACACTTGTTTTCATTTTAAATTTTGTGACTTCTTACTGTAAATAGTATTTATTGTGTTCTTTTTATTAATTTTAAACTTAATTGATGGATTTTATCAATTAAAACTTTGGAATAATTTGATTAGCGCTTCCGAAAATTATTTTAGTATATTTTCATGTAAAATAAAGAAAAAAAGGTTTTAAGGGCTAATTTTAACATATATAAGAGCTCAAGTAATAATTTAAAATGATACCAAAAATTACAATGCTAGAAGCGAAACTTTTGTTTTTCTGATTTTTGTTATAAAATTAGGCTTAGCGATGCAAAACCTCCGTCCTGTACGGTGACTGCCTTCGATTCTCTTCCGTCTCGCACGAGCGTCTTGTTTAAGACGCTTTGTTTAAAGGTGCGCCGTCACAAAAAGGTTAACAATACCCCTCAGGGGCTCACTTTTTTTGTGAGTACGAGGTGTGGCAATCCTGTGGTACTCTAGGCCTTCAGGGGATCGATCATCTTGGTAAGATGGGTGTCACGATCCTGGAGCCACAGTCATCTATCCTCTTTTTCATCTCCTCTGAGCTGAAGCTTTTTTCCTTCCATTCTCGCCTGTGGTTTTCCTCTTCGGAAGTTGGGGCTTGTCATGAGAGACTGGAACAGCTCTTGTCTATAGTCTTTGAGTGACGAGAAAACTGCCCATGTGTTTGCTGTGCGTTGAGACCTGTGTCGCTGGAAAGGAGGGTCTGGGTACTGTCCCCAACACACTGCTTTTGTCTCTGCTTTCAGCTAAAGGGGTGGCACCCTGTCATCCTCATGGGTGTGAATCGGCTGGTCACTAGTCCTTGTGTCAGTGGCTTGGGGTAAGCTCTCAGGAATACCTGCTTTCAGGAAAGACAACTGTAGGGCTTCAGTTTGCATATAGGTCTGGCTAGCCCTAACAGGAATCAGTGTTCCCTTGTTAGGCTTCGTGGTGGGTGGGGGCGGTTGAACTCGAATATTTTCCCCCAATATGGCAAATTCTAATATATATCTAATAAAAAACTTTGAAATCAGTCAAGTAGTTCCAAGCACTAATTCTGAAAAGTCAACTGTTAAAATAGTATGTATCGATGCAGATGTGAGCAATTCTAACAATAGTCCACGTTTCCTTGTAGTCTAAAGCCCTTCTGGCGAAATGCAAAAGATATCTCCATTCGTAATTAACAAGTATATTCATTTTTCCAAGGTGAACCAAGAAACATAAAGTGTTTTCGGTCTGGAGATTCGCATATCGACACAACTTCGGCTATGCGGTCTGCCTCCCTTCTTTGATTAACCAAACTTCGGCAAATTGATGTAACTGTATCAGCACATAAAGCATTCACTTTTGTAGAGGCATAATCTCGGAAATCGACTTTCTGTCCGTTTCCAAGTTAGCTGATCAAAAGGTATGTGCTGCCAGGCAGACCAAGATGCATAAAGGTCAGTTGATAGACACAAAACATGTGATCCTGACCTTCAAGTTGCCTGATCTTCTAAGAATATTAAGGCTGGATACCTCAATTATCCTGTATGCCCATATATTCCAAACCCAATGCGTTGTTTCCAGTGCCAGCATTTTGGTCACACTAAGATCCCCTGCCATGGCAATTCATGTGTGCATGTTGCTCAGTGGTTAGCCATGATAGTGACACATGTACTGCTGTCTCAATGTGCATAAATTGCAAAATGAACATGCAGCTTTCTTACACTCATGACCCAAATGGGAAACAGAGAGGTAAGTCCAGGCTATTAAAATGACGAGGAATATATCATATGCAGAAGCTTGAAGGATAGTTGAAGGCACTTAACCACGAATGCTAGTGAAGCAAAATCAATGCTATCTCTTGGTACCCAAACTACAGTGAACACACAAACACTAGTGCCTAAAACCCAACCCACAAAAAGCAAGCCCAAAATAAACAAAACAACTCATGAAATACAGAAAATAGAAAGAATAGTCCAAAACAAATGATAAAATCTCGCTAAAATAACAGCTAACAGAAACAGAAGTGTTAGTAATAGTTCATTTGATGACATGATTTCAGACTCTGTTGATTCATATAACAGGGAAGTAGGGCAAGGGTTTGAAATTCCGAAACATCTGACTTCACGCACACCAAAACGCAGACTAGGAAAGAACAAACACCACTCATAATGGCCAATCTCATATCATGGAACTGTTGTATTTTCCACCAAAATCTCATTAACATCAAACATCATAGGAGTTCTAGCTTCACTTGACTACCCCTTCAGCTCAATCTAATTATGAAAAAGCCTATAAGCTCTAGCCATACCAGTTAATGTATGAAATTTAATTTCCATTTGCTCTCTGTCTACTTGCATTCAAGTCAACACATCGATAGTAGTAGGGCATACCAGGTGTTTGTCAATTTTTTAACCTCCTAAGGAATGCTAATTTTTTACACCAAAAGCTCTAATCTTAAGTTTCTACAGTTTCCTTATGCTAATTTTTCTATACCAAAAGCTCTAATCATAAGTTTCTACTGTTTTCTTTTCATTCTAATTGGCAGCACTACTCTGTGAATGCTCAATATTTTGCAGTTATGAACTTAATGTACCTCTTTCAAAGGTGTCATGTTTGAATATTTATAAATTCCATTGGAGGGTAGATAAAAATTCACTATCTTCAAATATATGATGCACACATGCTAAACCTTTTATATTTACTGCATTTCAATTATTTAAGGTAATTAAAAGAAGATTGTATATGTTTTTAATGCCGGTATATGCCTCTACTGAGGGTACCTTGCCAATAGATGGCAGCACCAGGCTTCTCCTTCTCTACTCTCTGAGATGACAGAATTTCTTTACATTATAATAGTTTATGATGTAATAATTTGTTTATGATTAATTTACAAGTTGTGTAAGATTCAATATTGTGTTCATGGGGGTATGGGAAGTTTACCGACCCTGTCCTAAGACTGAATACGAGTATATTCGTTTCTTTTCATTCTTTGCTTACTCCACTTGAGTTTCTCATTTGCCTCTGTTTAGCTAAAATTTTAATTTCAGCACTCCACCCTTTCCCACGAGAAAAATTCGTTTAACGTCAAAAAAAAGTTACACAACTGTAAGTTAAATGTGGCATTGTTAGTCCTAAGCACACCCTTTGTTTCATGTTTTCCAAAATCCTAGATTGCAGCAAAAATGAAAAGAGGTGACGGACAACTAATTTTATATACAGGGGTCACGCCATCTTCACAAAGGGAAAGCTCGCTTAAAAGTATGGAAAATTGAAATTCACTTAAGTCCATTTCTTAGTGCAGTGGAAAAACTGCTAGTTTGAAATCATGCTTTTATTCTTTAGGTCTTCGTTAATTTCAGATGAGAGACTAAGGAATGCAAGAAAAACTTTTTCCCTGGGTTAGGATACAAGTACGTGGTTTAGTCTTCACAGCTGGTAAAAGGAGGGAAATATTGCTACGGCCAGTTTTAGATAAAAAACATTTATCTTTGGAAGGGTGAAAAGGGGGCAAATATTTGAGTTTTTAAAGTTTTGATAGAAATAGGAGCTTTGAGGTGTATCAAATAATAAAACCAAATAAAGACAGCTTTTCTTCTTGAACAAAATTATATATTACAACCTATATGTATAAAAAATTATAAAGGGCCCTTTACCAGGCCTGATAATTGAAAGAGTATGGGGGGAGGCGATTCTTGCTATCATAGCATGAAGCATATTCTTTTTATATATTATCTAAAGCATAAAATATAACAACTTCAAAAATGTAACATAATTTTTCAGCTGAGTCGTAGTGTTTCATTTTTAATTTTTTCCCCGAGTAACAACTTGTAATATTTTTCACTTTAGTAACATCTTGTAACATTATACTAGCTTAATTACAGAATGATACGGTTTCTGCATGCAACTATGCATGAATATTTTGCTAAAATTTTTCATAAAATAATAATATTTGTAGAGACAGGATTTTTTTGGAGGCAAGAAACTTGAAAAATGATCAATGCCTTCGCCGGGAATCGAACCACAGACCTCTGGAATACGCACCCAGCATGCAGACCACTACAGCACGAGGCCATGCTGGGAAGGAAGAAATACCTTGCATATTGAATTTAAATCACTTTCAAAATCTTTTTACCCATATTTTACATAAGTATATTCAGCTGGGTGGCATCATGAAAGTGCAAAAAACAAATCTTCTAATTTTAGTGAAATTTTAAAAGTTTTTTTGCCTCAGACTTACATAATGTACTCAAGCATCCATCTCTATAGATGCACATCAAAAGTTTGCAAAAATAGATGAAAAAACAAAAATTAACAATTGGCAGCTACCTGGGAAGAAAATGCTGTAGAGGGGTACCGGCTCTCAAAATTCAGGATTTTGCTCTAGATTTTTTTTAAAGTCTCAATTTTGAGCCCTAAGGGTCTGTAAGTTACAATTCATTCAAAATTTTACTGCAATTTAAATAATTTTATCTACTGCCCCTCAAAGGGTTAATAGAACAGCTGCCTGGACCCTGTATCATAATAGGTGACTTAATGCCCATAGCCCACTCTGGGGAAGTAAGAGTATAAATTCTGATCACTGTCTCTGTCTCCTCAACAATGAACATAATACCTATTTCCACGAACCTACTACAACCTTTCATGCTATTGATCTTGCTATCTGTTCATCTCTTTTACCTTTTTTTCGTTCAGTGTAAGGGATGATCCTTATAATAGTGATCATCTTCCCATTTTTGTAACTCTCTCATGAGGAGTAAATCCCATGTATAGCTTCATATATGACAGGGTAGAGTGGGAATTCTCGTTTATTCCTGAGCTCCTAGAAGAAATGGTTACAGATGTGCCTATTGATGAAGCAGTGAAATCGCCTCTAATATTATTCTGTAAGCTGCTGCAGTTTCTATACCTATGACGTCAGGAAAAGTATGAAAATATCCAAAGCCATGGTGGAATCGTGAGTGCCAGAAAACTCTGAGACAGCAAAGCTTGGGGGAATTCTGTAGGTACCCAACTCTGTCAAACTTAATAGCGTTCAAAAGAGCCAAATCTAATGCAAGGAAAGTAAGACGTAAGAGCCAGAGAGATTCATGGATATCCTATGCGTATGGGATAACATCATGAACACGATCTAAACGCGTCTGGGAAAGAAAAGCATGTTGGATATATAATGACTACTCACTTTTCTTTCTGGAAAAAAGATGGCCGAGTGATAAGTTCCTCAGAAGAAATTGCAAACAATATCAATGAAACATTTTCTGCAGTTTTTTCCAGCAATAATTATCCACCAGCATTCTTTTCTGTTAAGATACACTGTGAGAAAATTCCTATTGCATTCAACTCTTCTAACTCCGAGCCTTAAATAGTGTTTTTATGATGCATCAGCTGAGAAGAATTTTATCACAGACATATGTAAGTCTAGTCCGGGTCTAGATGGTATTAGTTATGAAATGCTGAAGCATCTGTCTACAAGTCATTGATTGCCCTCCTCCCTGTCTATAACCGAGTGTGGAAGGAGCATATTTTTCTCAATGGATGGAAGAGAGCTGTTGTTACACCTATACCTAAACCAGGAAAAGACCCGAAGGATCCCTCTTATTGGCCTAATTTCAGTTGCAAGTTGCATGTGTAAGGTGTTTGAAAAACTGGTAAACAGCCACTTACTCTGCTTCTTAGAAAAGAATCATATCGCCTCATCAGAGTGGTTCTCGAAAAGGAAGAACAACCATGAATAACATGCTCCTTTTGTAAAAACATCCATTCGTAAAGCCTTTGTGGGAAGAAACCATCTTGTCTCTGTCTTTTTTTAACATAGAGAAAGCTTATGATAAGGCATGGAAATATGGTATACTTCGTGATCTTCTTAACCTGCCTATTTTCATTAAAAATTTTTTGAGTTGAAGAACTTTTCAAGTCAGAATTGGTGCTGTCTTGTCAGATGTCTCTTTACAAGAAGAGGGTGTGCTCAGTATTACTATGTTCACTTTAAAAATCAACTCTGTCGTAAAGCAACTACCTCCCACAATTTTAGGATCCTATATATTGATGATTTCAGATTAGTTGTCATGGGGCAGGTATGAGACGTGTAGAAATGCAACTGCAGTTTGCTCTGAACGGAATTCAGGACTGGTCAAACAAATAAGGATTCTAGTTTTCGAACCACAAGACTGTTTGTGTGCACTTTTGCAGGAAGCAAGGTACCCATCCTGAGCCTGAGTTACATCTTCGTGGATCAGAGATTCCAGTACGACATGAAGTAAAGTTTTTGGGAGTGCCGTTCGACCGAAAGCTTACCTTCCTCCCTGATGTGTTACATCTGAAGAAGAAGTGTACCAAAATATTAAATCTTTTAAAAACTCTTGGCAAACACCTGGGGTGCAGAATGCTGCTCTTCATGTTTGCAGAGCACTTGTCCACTCTAGACTAGATTATGGCTCAGTTGTTTATGGATCTGCACGACCATCAGTTTTGCAGAAACTAGACCCAGTTCATCATCAGGCATTGCGTTTCTGTACTGAGGCATTTCCAGACCTGTATGTTAATTATTATGATCCAGCTGTCCATTTATGGCATGAGCAGTTGTCTGTCTACAGTATTTTAACATATTGTCTCAACCTGACCATCCTAGTAAGCTATGTTTGCTTGATGACATATGTGATTTTCTCTTTCAAGCACCACCATCTTGTGTCCCTTCCTTTTCTTTAAGAGTTTGATCTTTCATCGAAAAGCATTCCATATCTGATATGTCCACCCAAGTACATCATCTTGAAATCCCACCTTGGGAAGATGTGAGAATCAAGCTTCTTGATGTTTTCCATCACCACAATAAGCAAAACACTTGCAAGCTTGTATATAAACAACTCTTCTTTGAACATAGACATGAATATAGTGGTCATGTTGCCATATATACTGATGGGTCAAAAACAGCTTACCATGTTGGAGCATGATTTGTAGTGGGTGAATGCATTGAGGGCAGACATTTGCACTATGTTTGCTCAGTCTTGACATACGAGCTGACTGCCATATATTATGTGCTTTTTTGCATGTCAGAGCTAAGCCAGAAAAAGTTCATAATTTATACAGACTCATAAAGTGCATCGAAAGCTTTCGAAACTTTTTCCAACACTCGTAATCCTGTAGCTGTTGAACTTCTAAAATTAAATTTAAGCTTACATTTGCATGGTTATCAAGTTCTGTACTGCTGGGTTCCTGGTCATGTTGGGATCAAAGGAAATGAGCTCGCCGATATCACAGCTAAGTCTGCTGTTGATCTGTGCAGCCAGCATGTTCCTCTGATGGGTATTAAAAGAGGTATTAAGAGAAAAGTCCTAGAGAAGTGGCAGCTGTTATGGGATGCTCAGGTTAACAATAAGCGTAAAACTGTGATACCTCTAGTTGAATACTGGGATTCAATAGGAAACTGAAAAGAGGATGTAATTCTAACCAGTCTTCATATTAGTCCCTGTCATGTAGCACAGTCTGACCTGTCAGTAGTTACCCTTTGAATAACTCACTTATATTGAAATATTTTAATAACTCTGACTTGCCTCTTGACTGTATAATCGGGAAAGAGGCTAATGCTAATTCCTTTATTTCCATACCTCAAGGAGAACGGTTTTTGTTATTTAATTTGATTTTTTTTATGCGTCTGTGGATTTTAGTGATATAAATTTTACTGTATCTTATATTTTATGATTTCACACATCCTTCACATCTTGCATCATTACCCAATTCATGAGTTACTTCACCTTAACTTTCATCATCTTTATTACCTGTTTTTATTTTATGTGTCTGCTCCGTGTTTTAAACTTGTGATTGCATAGAATTAATGTGTGAACTGTAACTTGTTTTTAGCTATCATGTGTCTGGCCAGGTAATAATCTATCCAGGTTGTGCGCCATAATATTTACCATTACCTATCATCAAGATAGTATTCTGGTTGTCTACTAATGGTTTCATAAATAATGTGATTGCTTAAAATTCTGCTACGAGCCCCACTTACATTGGATATGGTTTGTGCTTTGTAGCTCGAAATGTAGTTGGGATTTCTGTGCATTAGAACAGATCTTAGTCGGGGGTCTTCTTAAATGTGGCGGATCCTGAGAGCATTTAATGCATGTTCTTTTGAAATGAGTTAATGACACCTAATCTACTGATATATATTGATTCAGGATATTCATCTACCAGTTTCATTCTATCAATAGATATCTTCTTATGGGAACTCCTACTGCATCTCTGAACTATTTATATTCCGTATTAATCTAAGTCTGTTTTCGTCTTTCTCCTTTTCACATAATGGGATCCTCAGATATCTTGGGTTATACATCACTTTTTTGTCAAAAGGTGAGAGTTGCTCCTGTTCCTACAAGCAGTAATGTCTTGTTATCTATATGATATATTTTAATTGATTGTCAGAGTTTTAACTATGCTTGTCAGAGGTATTTTAATACTTTATTGACATTAATTGGAAAAAATCCAAAGCTTAGCATCTTTCACTCTTAGAGATAGCATTTTGCCATTTGATTTAATGTATTTTAATTTAATAGTGGCTTTATTCTACATGTTTTTATCATCTATTAATTTCATGCCTATTTTAAACTCTCCTTGTGTTACTACAATTATCATTCATCATATTTAGTATTTTAATCCCATTTTTATGTTCGTAATTTTCTCCATTTACATTGTATTGTGTGTGCTAGCTTTGCTCCTATTGTACAGTTTTGTGTGTTGTATGTGAATATTTTATTTGGAAAGTTTCTGAACTTTTGGCTGTGTAACATGCAGTTTGACTGATTTGTAATGTTCAGTATTGGTAAAATAAGGAATGATGCGGTTGACGTAGAAACGACCTTTTTTCTGGTTTTGTGCCATAAAACCTAAATTTGCTTGAGCAGTTTTTTTAAATACTGCTGAACTTTAGCTAACTTCAAGTTACATTGCAAGATTTTTTTTTTTTTTTTTTTTTTTACTGATTTTACTTCTGTCTTGTTTTAAAATTATCATTATTACCTGTCATGTTTCAAATCATCTCACAATAGAAGATTTTAATATATTGATTTTCCATAAAATTAAAAGTGGGTACTAAGAAAAAGGTATTCATTCATTAAAAGACAAAAAACAAAAGTATGATGAATCAAAGAACTAAATTGTGTGTTGAAAAATAGCTGAGATCCACTCTGCAAACCATTCTGAAATTTGAAAAAAAAAATCTATCATATTTTTATTCTAAAAGTATTGATTCTTTTGTATCAATAAATTATCAAAAACTACAAAAGTGTTTTTTTGCTCTTGGTCGGTCTTATCGTCGCATCAAGATGTGTAAGTCAAATGAACCTGCTAAATAATGCAAAGTCACTATGGCATGCAACTTCAGAGTGTTCAAAATTTTACTGAATAAATGTTCGGGGTAGCCTGCGAAACTATTCGTATAGAGACATATTTCGTATGACATATTATATGCAACTTACAAACGCAGTCAATATTTCATAGAAATGTTATTACTTAACATTTTATTATTGAGCATATGTAGGTAATATTTTGTTCCGCATACATAGCATCGAGGTTTTGGTCTTGCTCCTTTAAACTTAGATTTATTATGCTGTATGTTGAACTCTTAGCTATAGTAATTCCTTTCTAAATCTTTCAGGTAACTTCACTTGCATACAAGTTGTTTTCACTCTTAAGCGTCGACTTGGGTACTACATGTTTCACACCTATATCCCAACTTGTCTTATCGTTATTATGTCATGGATATCATTCTGGATTAAACCGGAAGCTGTGCCAGCGCGTGTGACTCTTTGCGTCACATCCCTTTTGACGTTATCTACCCAGCACGCGCAGTCACAAAAGTCTCTTCCACCGGTTTCCTACATCAAAGCTATCGACATCTTCATGTCCTCTTGCACGGTGTTCGTATTTGCTTCTCTGATGGAGTATGCACTGGTGAACATTCTTTTAGGAGAAGGTGCTGACGGATTTCAGGAAGAAGAAATTATTCGGCAACATCAACAGCATCAGTCACAGACTTGCTCACTAGCGAAGCAGACGCCCAATATGATGCTTGTACCTAAATTAACGGTATTTAGCAAATATTTTGTTATATAAAAGTCATTTTCCATAGTATTCTAGATTAACTTCTTAAATAATAGCATTAAGCATTTTCACATATATTTAATGTTAAGCATATGTTAGTTTTTACTTATTGATATCCAAAATTGCAAGCATTATGATGAATGTGAATGCAGAATAATTAATAGCATGAATTTAAAAGTAGTCGAAAATTAGATGGAGGAAGAGAACTAATATTTTTAAACATCAGACAAAGAAATTTGACGAATAACACTTCATTGCTTTACGATTAAATTTAATAATGTAATTTTTTTCATTAATTTCTCTTCGATTATCGATCAGTTAGAAATAATACAGCTGTAAGAAAGGGTCAATATTAGTATAATATAACTTTTTGTGGTGCCTTTTTTACCTTTAGTAATATCCTAATCTAACTGATTCTCTTTGACTAATGATTAATTTGCATGCTTATAAATATAATTTCTACAATGACATTCTGTTGAATATTTCACGATGATGTAGAGAGGTAACTGAAATATTTGTGAATATTATGACTCTGCCATTATGTCGAATCTTAGTTTTAAGAGCACAGGTTTTTTTATCTTCTTACAAAGCATTTTAAACTTATCTTTCTTTCTTATTAGGAAGTTCTTCCCAAGGTGCCGAATTGTCCTAAACTACCACCTCCTACTTGCTCCAGGTACCGCCAAAACAAGCACAGAGATAAAGCGATGATGGTTGATAAAGTCTCAAGGGTAGTTTTCCCACTTTCGTTCGTGATACTAAATACTGCATATTGGTCAGTGTATCTGGACATGGTTTGAGAAAATTTCCCTTTTCTCTTTCCACTTCGTTTTTCCTCATTGTAAGATCAATCAAAGAAAAGAAATTTTGACGGAAAATCTATTGCTATTTGTAAATTGTAAATTTAAAGTACTTATGTAACCTAAAAGGAAAGAGTTAAATTTATACGACTGGTTTCTTTCAATATAATGAAATGTGTAATATTTAGTCACTGTGAACTGTCTGCCTAACTTCAAAGATATTTACTGTTGGTTATTTCAAGCTATGTAAGGTGTTCAGTCATTAGAGAACATTTGCGTTTCCGGAAAGTTTGATCTGCTATTAGCAATTCATCCAAAACTTACATTTCTTGCATTCTTCAAAGATGAAAAATATATACATATAATTCCTAATACTTGTAAAATTAAGATGAACTTAGTGAGTTTTTTGTTGATTACTCGATATTCTGAATTAGTTTCATTAACATTTTTAAAGATATTTGTTATTATCTTATTATGTTATTCTTTCTGTTTTTTAAAAATAATCAAATATGTTCTTTTTTTTAATTTTTCAAAAAATATATCATTGTGTGAAAACTAAGGGAAAAAACTTTGTATATATATATATATATATATATATATTATATTAATTAATTAAACTTAGATTTAAGAATAAGAATTTTTACGAAAAATGATTATAATATTGTCTACGTCAGGGCCAATTATTCTTTATTCATTGACCGAACCAAAACCATTTAAGCCTTACAGTTTGTAATTTCAGTAGTGTAAAAACATTGTTTTAATTATAGGTAATTATCAATGGCAGACTGTGGTAAGAAAACATCGTAAAACAAAATTGGTCATGTTTGTCGATGTATCATGAAAATCTTAACATGCAAAGTGTTAGATAAACAAGATTTGAAGAAACAATGCGCAAATTCTAATAATACGAATGAAAGAAAAAGAAAATGAATGTTTATATAGCAAATTCAGGAATATTATAATTTAATAATAGAGGCACGAAAATCTAGCTAAAAACAGCTTTCAATATTGCAAAATTTGAAAGGAAATCTATACTTTACTGTAGGATTTCTTCAGCCGAGAGCAAGATACAGCCATGTGGTACAACTCTTGAAATTCTGAAGCTGTTGTACAAATGTTCACTATGCTAGATCACTGGATTAATTGTTCATAGTAGTCTTTTAAGCTTTACAAAAAAGTATTGAAATGTGTTTAATTACAATGTATTAAAAAGCTATCTAGCAGAAATGAGCGAAGTACTATTTTGTGGTTCTTCCTACAGTAAATGCTGGAAATGGTTCTTATTGGCCTGAAGGTGTGTCTGAACAAGCATCTTCTCATATTGTCAAAGTTATGCAAGAAGGTGAAGTTTATTTAAGGCGGCTTGTTAAGGCATGTTTTGCTCCACTTGTTAAGATATCTTCTTTAGATTTTGCTAAATATGAGTGATGAATCAGTTTAATGTCTCCGCGATCAAAAACATATTTAGGTAGAAATTTTTCCAAAGGTTCTTCAACAGGTTAAACAGGAGATTCGTTAAATACTGGCGGCGAATCTGCCGAATATCTTCCACGGCCTGAAACATAGAGAAGTTGTTTCATTTATGAAACTCTTTGTGGAGGGAAATCTGTGTAATTTTTGTATGAGTGTAGAGAATCTGTTAAAAGTCCCCCAAGGTCCAATGGCATTACTGGATAAGTGAAGTATGAGAAGAACTAGAAACCATTACCTGAAATATGTCAGAATACGCTTCTTTTATCGAAATTCCCTGCTAAGGTGAATTTTGAGATTTGTTGAAAACGGGCAGCAGAGCAGTTCAATATCCCTCAAAGGGGAAGACCTTTTTGAACAGGTAGCAGATGAAAATTTATAACTATACTTTTGTTGAAACAGATAACAAGCTTTGTACAACCCTTGCTGCTCTATTCCTAAAAATTAGCGTTTCTTTTGTCGAAATCTTTCTGCAGTATAAATATATGGATTTACTTAATGTGGGTTGTTATACTGTCAGATATCCCTCAGGAACTGAAAGTACGTAAGAAAGACATTTTCTTGTTCTTGAAGATCTTCAGTATGGCTATTAGGATTTGTTGGATTCGAGTGATCAATGTGTTTATTTGTATAACATGTATGCAATAAATCTTGGGGTAATTTGATCCTATTAAAATAAAGGAGTTCTTCCTCCCTTAAGAAGTGCGTACTATTTTATACAATAATGAGCAAAAAGAGTAATTCTTAAACTTTTTTCTAATTTAGTTGTGACGGAATACTTAGCGAATATATTACGGCTTGTTTTCTTTTCTGACTTTATCCGGAATATTAGAGCTGTAGAAGATTTCATAAGCACATCTCTCAATTTATACTAAGGATTTTACTTTTTTCTACTAAATATGTCTACGGATGTTAAAGGTGTACCATGATGCAAATGTTAAGTAAAGTGGTTTTAAAGAGTATACTGAAAATATAGTTTTGAAATCTATTTTTGGAGAGATATCTGCTGAGGCTGTGATTTTGATGATATATCAAGACGAGCAAGATATAAAGTACTGCCTTTTTAATTGTCATTAGTCTGAGCATGCACGAGATTTCGTCCATATGATCTGGTTCAAGTCATCTAGAAGGACCATTGACATAGACACAGTTAGAACTACTGCACTACTGAAAAGGTGATGTTCTGACCTCAAATGGGATATTTTTTCCACATAATTATGTATAATAGCGGGACATATTCCGCATTACTTTCTGTAAAACTCAATATTTGTCTTTCTTGTGATATGTTTTTAAATAAAATATATGAAGGCATGCAGTTTCATCATTTTTTCAAACGCCTAATTAGAACAATTTTATAACTTCTCAGATATATATTGTATATACTTTTTATAAGTAATTCTTACATCCTCTAGAGATCACATATCAATATTAGACCGTAAAGGCTACTTACTAACTTACTTATCTTTCACATAATTCTTGAAGGGTTTAATCAGGTGCAGCTTGCTGTGAAGCAATAACATCGCCTACAAGATGAGGCTCCTATTCCCATGAGCAAAATCATACCAAATTGTTATATGTAGCTCCATCTTTGGGCAAAATTTGAGATCAGTTTATATCCTATCCACGAAAATTACATCTTTAGCTTTGTTATTAATTCTTAGTTCCTTAATATAGTTTTTCAACCACGCCAAACAAGTAGGAAAAAAATAAAAATATGCGGTCTAAGTATAAAAAGACTGCAATCAAAATACAACCACCACAAAAAGTCAAATATAGGAAACTCAAATGTAAAAGATGATATAAAGGCAAAAACCAAACAAGGGTTTTACACTTTTCGTGGTATCTGTATCTTGGTGTCCCGAGAAAGTGTAAATAAGTTAAAAATCTTAAGTTAGATGCCCAATCCCCCACAAGATATGAGCGAAAGCAGTTAACTAAAATCTATTATTAAAAAACTATTTTTTAATCTAAAAAAATCAAAATTATACAAAAAGAATAATGACAAACGTAAACACAAACTAAGCAAAATATAAGGTACCAGTAATGGTCGCTGGACTTGTCCAGATTTCCTGGGGTATGTGAATGTAGTTTGAAATGGTAAAAGATAAATTTTTAAAATGCAAAATTTTTTAAAAACATCAAAAAAATTTTAAATGCAATAAATTATACCAAAATCCCGAAAGCTAATGACAAGCTTACAGGTATATGTCTGATATACAAGTTTATAGGTGTATGGCGGACTATAATTAATTTATTTCCAAAAAACGTAAAATCGTCAACCAAATGAAAAATCTGATTATAACTTAATTAAATAATTTATAACAACCAATAAATTAGATAAACGAAAACCAAACTATTTAAAAATATAAGTTATTCTATCTTGAAATGCTGAGAAAATTGTACTGAACAACAAATATAAGACAATGGTTACAAATCAGAAACATTACCCGAAAAAAATATAGTTCAGATTGAAAAAAATGAAACGCTTTTATTAGAGGATGTTAAATGGCGTTAGGGAAACTAACAATAATTTTTACAAATTATAAGTAATAATTGATATGCATAATTGTAATATGCTTAGCGACACTTAATGACAATAAAAACTCTATAGACTCTTTTCCAGTGCAGCTAGAATAATTCTTAAAAATAATTCTCAAAAAGCTGATAATTATTTTCAAATATTCTAAAATTTTTAGATCTTTTCAAAGATAACATTAAAATAATTACACTTAATCAAAGTTCAATATAATTTAATTTCAGTGATAGTAAAAATGTGAATTCTTTTTTAACACAAAAGAAATCTATATGAAACGTAATACATTAAATATTTATTATTTTAGTATTAGTCCGACATATTCTGGATAGGAAGCTTCGGTAGTCTCCGAAAGTAACCTCAATTACATTTTTTAAAATTAAAGGCTCAATTACATTTTTTAACCTACCAATAAGTATCTGTTTCTTTATTGCATTCGTGTTTTAAACATTCGGTGTGTTCTTTTAAGCGTGTGGTTACATATTTATAGCTTCTAAGTATTTCGATATCTTATTTTCTTCTCTGAGATATGCCAAAATAGTGTAACGGATGTTATATAATTTATTTAATTTTATCGTTCTAATAACTGTTTTAAATATATAATGAAGGTAATAGCTAGGTGCTATCCAACAGAAGTAAATAATAAAAAGGATACTTGAAACCGCCACAATGCTTAGTCGCCGATTTTGGCAAATTTCATTATTGTTACGAATTTCGTACATATAACGGATAATTTTAGTGAAATTATATGTGAAATTGTTGTATTTTTCCATATAATGCTACATGAAACTCTAGAGAAGCGATGCTCTGCCGGGAAAATTAAAGTACAGGGGCAAATCTATTTAACATTGAGTAAATGCCTATCTCGTTAATTTGGCGAGCTATCGCAAAGCTAGCAGCGGTTAAATTAGCTCTCAGAGGGGAAAATTACACACAATAGGGGAAGGGGAAAATTATGCGAATATTTTAATGGGAGGGAATGCGCGAAGAAATACGATATTTATGTCTGAAATACTATAATGAAAAATAATTATTCATCAAAATTAGTGACATTAGAGTGATATTAAGAGCTGA